AATAAAACATGTATAGCAATGGCTTCTTCCTTAATATGCACAGAGAGACAGAGGCTAGGAAATATTGGGTGCTATATGTACTTCTTATTAAGCTTCTTATGAAGTATTGAAAGAGGGAGACTGGTTAGTAAATATTGGGGACCATATATATTTCTTCTTATTAAGCTTCTTATTAAGTATTGAGAGAGAGAGAGAGGCTGGCTAGTAAATATTGGGTGCTTATACATGTTTAAGATACTGAGCAGTAAAACTACATAAAACACTTCTTCCAGCCTCATTTCTTTCATTAAATATAAGATTATTTTTCTGCTACATGTTTACTAACTAGAGCACGTTTCTAGAATTGTGGTATGTATGGATTCAATAAAATGGAAAAAGCTAATAATGTTAGTTTGGGGAACTAGTCACCAGATATGGTTAAATAATGCTTCATTTTAAGAACATCATTTCTTTTTTGTGGATTTGTTATTTTTTTCTGAGTATGTGCATAGGTATAGATATTTGTTTACTAACGTAGCTGGCATTGTTTAACTACAAAATGAAGAAAATGTACTTAAGAGAAACATGAAGTGTCTACACTGATAATATGTGTATTCCCGACATACCTGTGCCCAGAAAATTCTGCTAATTATAGAATACGATCATTTGGAACTTCATGTGACCCCCAAACTGGCATTTGCTGACTCTCAAACCAGGTTAAATGTGGTTCTTATTATTAATGTCAATTTATGATCTGGAAATTCTAGTGCATGGATCGTGTTTTGACATATGTTGCATAATTTATGATCCTAACATGGTAAGAAGGCATAGCAGGCTATAATTCATCTTAGAGAGAGAAAACTGCCAGAAAGCAGCATAATAAGTTTGATCAATGACAGAAGGCAAAAGATTATAGGAGGAAAATTTAATTCTTCATACGTTTTATGCATATATTATGGATTTGGTGGGTTTTTATCTTTCTTTCTTCTTTTTTTTTGAGACAGAGTTTCAGTGTCGCCCTCGGTAGAGTGCCACAGCATCACAACTCACAGCAACCTCAAACACTTTGGCTTAAGTGATTCTCTTGCCTCAGCCTCCCAAGTAGCTAATACTACAGGCACCTGCCACAAAGCCCGGCTATTTTTTGTTGCAGTTGTCGTTGTAAAGCTGGCTTGGGTGGGGTTCAAACCCCCAGCCTTGGTGTATACGGCTGGTGCTATAACCAATGTGCTATGGGCACTGAGCCTAATTTGGTGTTTTTTAGTGATTGACAATTAAACCTTTATCGCTGAAGTTTGAATTATGAGGAAGGCAGACACAGTTTTACCCAGGTGAAGATCTAGCACAAGTCATGTTTTTGGTGAGCATCACAATGGAGGTTTCCTAACTTCATAAAGTGGGGATAGAACAATGAGGATTCTGAACTATGGCTGTAACAGGAAAGGGAGATATTAGAGGAAAGAAAGAATGAAAAGAGAAAGGAATGGAAAAGTATGAAGAAGAAAGGACGAAGGATGATCAGAGCTGGGACAAAGGGAAGGGACGGGATGGAGAGAGAATGAATGGCTGAGAAGGAAAAGTAGGAAGGAGAGGTACAAGGGAGAAGATGGCAAATATTCCCTCTTGCTCCTGCAGAACAGACATTGTATTCTGTCCTTCTGGGCCGGGAAGGCATTTCCATACTTCTTGGAGAGAAGGCCACTTTAAGTTAGTGGAATAAATGGGCTATGAAAAGTTGGCACCTTAACTGACACCCAGAAATCATAGGGTATTGAATTTTTATTTTTTCACTTTTATTATATTTATGTATTTATTCACACTAGTTATTGCAACATATTTTGAAGAAAATAAGATTGGACACAACCTCTATCTTTTTTTACCTTTAAAGAGAAAACTGGAGTCATAATAAAAATGTTCTTTTTTCTGTCATATTTTCGAATACTAACAACAAATACATCTGGACTCACAGATTTGAGAGTTCAAAAGGGGTTAAATTTCACATTTTATGCTTTCCATTTTGCCAAATCATATTTATATTAGGATGATCCCTAAGATGAATAGTGAATATTATAAAACCATGTTTTGAAATGACAACAGATTTGATAAGATTTGGGAAATGGGCCATTATATCTCAAGTAGTATTTGATACGGATAATCAAAATAAAATAAAAGACTAAAACAAAAGACCGTGGAGTTTTAGATGACCTCTCACCCATCCTGAGGTTATTGTAAGTAGGTGTTTAGTGATAGAGACATGAAAGGTGAAATTAAAATTTTAACTTTTAGGATTTAAAATTCATTGTCTCTGACAAGGGACTGGGCTGCTCGACAATACATATTTGCACACACCTGCTAACGTTGTCCTGTTCTGCGACATCATCGTACACTTCCTGGTCATCTTCGGTAGGTATTGAGAGAGCACCGAGTGTGGTTTGTTTCCGTTTCAAAGAATAGTAGTCGATCTCTACGGCAGTTGTTTTAATATAGCCATCTAGCAAAAAAAGGAGCAATTTATGATCATACCCCTAAAATTTTTAAAGCATGAATAAAATATCCATTGCACATTTGCTGTTTAAAATTTTCCTTCATCTATTTGCTCGCAATTCTGCTTTATACTCTATCAAAGTCTTACCTTGTTGTGGTTTAACGCAAGCTTAAGAGTCTGTTTTAAAGATTGTAAGGGAATTTACACGAATCATTTTTTTCCTTTTAACATCATTGAAGAACACAGTACCCTTGGTTCTTCTCTGGAATAACATAAAACTTGACATTGTTCCACACTAAAAAGATATCACAGATAACATGATGATAGAACTTACAGCTGCCATTAGAAATTGTCCTACCTTTGTCCACCCTGTCACACTCTCCTAACTTGATGCCTAGGAGTAGTTCTGGAGAATTTGTGTATTGAATATTGCTTCAAAAAGAAAACACTTTGAAGTCACAGGGACATTTTCACTCACATGACCCCTTTGCTGTTCTGCCCAACCATTTTCCTTCAGGGTTGTCTGTGATGCGGATTATTTCAATTTGCTCTCCTTGCTTAAAGCTCAGTTCGTTCTTTCCTCCTTTGACATCACAGCAAGCTTTTGCTTGGTGGATGACTTGAATAGGGCCTGTTAGCTGCAAGGAGTAAAAAAAAAAACAAAAAAACAAAAAAAACGCACAACAGGTTTCCTTATTATTCAAAACATCTTCAAGGAATGCAATTTGAGAGACAGTAAGTCTACAACTTGCTAACCTATCTCTATCCACCAGTTACACATTTGAACTACAAGTAGAGGGTGAATGTCATTTTGGGTGAACGCTTTTCTTATAGGAGGGTTTAGGGAAAAATCCGAGAGGCCAAGGAGGGTTCTCAAAGAGTAGGTAAATATGTGCTTGGGCATATAGGGTAGGGATATGTTGATCTTAGGGACTCCGCAATGGCAGCCCAGTAACTGCATAGCACCTAGGTACAACATTCTGCGCTGAATGCTTTGTGTTTTATGGGGAAGCTTATCATCTGTTTTGTCTGATTTCCCCCCCACTTTTCATGTGTAGTTATTCTGATGGTTTACTGCAGGCCTAGAACACTGAAGAGAAAGGTAGGTAGTGGTTGTTCTTGTGGGCAAAGCATTCTTTTCTTCTTCTTTTTTTTTATACCTGCCTGTTTATAAACGTGGATTAGACGTTACCTGCTATAAACAAGGTAACATTTCCGAAATAACTTCGTAAATCAACAAATAGCAAACAAATGTTATGGGAGGTTTTAAAATTAATATCCTGAATAGTATGGTGATTTCTTGACAGCTGAGTAATGCTCTAATTTAGATCGTGAAACCCAAACTCTTAATTTCTTAATCCCAAATTCATATGGTGTCAACAGAATTTCTTGGATCTTTTGATATGTAAATATGCATTGTGACATTTGAAGGAGCTCTATTTTATTATATTGAATTTGTGATGCCATGAACTGTAAACATGTATCATTAATTATGCACCATTAAGAAAAATGAAAACACCTTAAATTATGATCTGCCATGATATTAATGGGTCTCAGTTCTCATATTCATTCCATTTTTTTTAACCGAGTACCATCACCTGGGAGGAATATAGCTCGTGAAGTGCTAGCCTTGACACACTTTTGCATTCTTATTTGGTAGCATAATTTCTAAACCCTATTTTTTTCTTACTAAAAATATTAGTTGAGTAAATGAGGGAAATAATGTAAAACTGATTTCTCAAAAAAGTACGGAAATACCTCATATAATTCCTTCAAGACTATAAACAGTCTCTTCCTGAAAAATGTATTATATGGAGTTTCATTTAAGAAATTAATTTTTTCCTTGAGAAATACAGACATTGGTAGAGATGCATTCTGTGTGAGTACAATGTTTTGATATTCATGCCATAATCATAATCTTGCTTGTGTATAGTGAGCTGTTTCAAAATTTAACACAAATGTATAATGGATACGGTGCCTTCTGTGTATTATTTTGTTTAATTCTACAACAAACTTTCTGAAGAGGTATCATTTATTCCACTTTAAAGATTAAGATCTGAGGCTTAGAGAAGTTAAGTAACAGGCCCTGTATCATATGTAACTGGTATTTGCAGATGGAATTTGAATCCACATCGGTCTGACTGACTCTATGGTGCATGTTTTCCCTACCATGCTGGTGAACCTTTGCTTTAATACAATAAACATGCTGGGAAGTTATATATATATATCAAATTTTTATAATTCAAACCAGATATTAAATTCTTCGGAGGAATAAATTTTTAAAGGAACCATGATGTGAATCCTTTTTCCAGTTAAGAATGGCATTATAACTCCAGCAATCACTCTAAGTGTGTCCGACATGCTAGACCTATACCAGATGAGCCATGTCATCCAAGATGGTAGCCAAGAGAACACAGCCTGCAAGTGTGGCATTTCCTGGTCAAAGAATGACCTGAGATCAAAGAAGAGTGCTCAGAAATCCGGATAGACAAAGAAGACTGAGAAGCAGCAGGTAACAGGATGTATACAGATTTAAAATAAAGGTAAAAATGCAGGTCTGGTCCAGAAACCAGTAATTAGAGTAGCTCATAGAAATCTTCTTCGGAGACAGATCTGGTTTATCCAGCAAACACTTGTGTCCCTTGCCCCACTGTTTCATGCCACATCTGATATCTATGCATCCAAGTTCATAGTCTGACATGAAACACGTTATGGGAAGAGCCAAGATGGATTTGAGTAGGGAGTATTCATTCCCTCAATCCACATACAATTTCCGCGGTGCCCACCATACAATAAGTACCATATATTCTTTGAATTTTATCATGTTACATTGTTATAGTACAAAGATAAGACAGCATATTGGATAAAAAGTATTGTCATGAAGCTAGTTCTTGTTTAGAAATAATAATCACGTGATTCTCCAACTATGTAAGGTTTTATGAATGGTGCCCCTCTTTAGAAAACTTAGAAAAAGATGCAATGCTAAAGCCCTTACTTTAAATTTCTTCTTTATTTCTTGTTCTTTCTTTTCTTTCTCTTTCTGTTCCTTTTTCTCCAACTCCAATCTCTTCTTTTCCTCTTTTTCTCTCTTCTTCTCTCGTTCTTTGGATGCTTCTCTGTGAATAAAAATCAATAGATAACTTTCTGCATCAAAGGCCTTTGGTGCATCAGGGCTCCCTCCTCGGAGAGGTTTCCACCCTTAACAGAAGACAGTATCTGACATTACGGAGGAAGGTAAAAAGCCAAAGGTTGTGAAAATCCCGGCTCTGTGAGATTGTGTCTAAATCCAGTAGGAGGCACACAGTTGAGGATACCTTCTAAAGTCTCTGCTGCCCCTGACAACGGTGCCAGCCAGAGGAAGGCACTGTTTATAAGGGCTCATTCCCACTGAACTTTGGTATGAATAGAATTCATTTCTCTCTCTCTTTCTCTGTCACGTGCATGCAAACAGAAACTTCAGTTAGAACTAGTTGAATAAATACCAGGTAGAGGAAATCAAGACATCTGAGAGCACCGCCAGATAAAAGAAGGTAACATATTCATTTCCACTTTCACCTACTTTTCAAGAAATTCCTTGGTCCCGGGCTACCTAGAAAACCATCTCGGAGCTATTTTTAACATCTTTCCACTTTAACAAGCTAAAACTTTGGCATCTGGGTGCTGTGCTAAATTATTTCTCATAGCACCCCTGTGGGTGAACCGCCACCCAGGCAAATTCATCTGTCAAAGACACACTGAGAACAAGGAGTGCAGATTCCTGTTTCTGCGTCCCTGCCCCTGGTTTATCTCCGAGGCTGCAGATCTCGGGCCTCTCACACACCAGCTTGTTAACAGAGTCCTTTGTAGAATCCTTAGAAAACTATGCCAAGTGTTTGAACACATAAAGCTTCCCTCGTGGTGATGGTACACCCACTCGCCCTCATACAAAACATTATATTTGTTGTAGAAGAAAAATATCATGGTAAAATGCAATTCATACATGTCTTCGTATGTTTCTCCTTCACTTTCTTGTTCCTGTCAAGAAAAATATTGATAACAATTAATTTTGATTATTAAAAAACATTACCATACACATATCATATTAATCAAATACTAATTAAAACACATTTTTAAGTGTAGGTACTATAAAAATATGTAAGTTTGGCTTGTTGCAAACGTGTTTTTTTTTCCTCTTTGGAAATAGACTGGGAAAGCAAACACAAAAAGGTTTCCTTTTTTATCTTGCTATATAATTCAGAAATGTAGCTAGACTTAAGATTATATTCATCACTACAACATAACAATGAGTCAGTATAACAATCTGTGTGTAATATCGCAAGCATTTTTGATGAAATAAGATTATAAATGGAAGAATATCACCATTACTCATGAGAATTTTGGTTTATAGTAATAGGAAGTGAATCACAATAATTGTTAAATATTCTAATTATAGCAACATAATAAGAAATGAAACAAATCTGACCTCGTCTAGATTTCCAGTACCTAAAAAATTTTTAAAAAGAATAAACATTAATACATTTTAATAAGGAAGCATCTTAACATAGGATTATCAGACATAATATAACAATACTCATAAAAGTTCATAATCTAACAGAATTCATGCTTATCAAAGATGTAGAAGAATATGAGCTTTAGATCTTTCTTATGGCTTTTTTGATACTTGTAATTTAATCATAAAATCATTTCATTGACTTTCATAAAATAATGCAAAAGTCAAAAAATAAATAAGACACTATTTAGTCCCTTTATAAAAGGCATGTCTATTTGGTTCTATGAGTTTATGTAGAATGAGCAATTATCAAACCCCCAGTTACTAAAAAGTCACAGTTAGGGCTTGGCACCTGTAGCTCAGAGGTTAGGGTGCTGGACACATATACCAGGGCTGGCGGGTTCGAACCTGGCCCAGGCCTGTTAAACAACAAAGAGAACTGCAACAAAAAATAGCTGGGCATTGTGGCAGGTGCCTGTAGTCCCAGTTACCTGGAAGACTGAGGCAAGAAAATCGCTTAAGCCCAAGAATCTGAGGTTGCTGTGAGCTATGATGCCACAGCACTCTACTGAGGGTGAAATAGTGAGAATCTGTCTCCAAAAAAAAAAAGTCACAGCTAGTTGTTTCCAAGGATATGCTTTCAGGTATTAAAAAAATGAAGTTATTTGGATTTTTAAAAAAAATTATAGTGCTCCGTTTAGTGTAATATCAACTAATTACTAGATATCAACACATAGCCTAATATTAAGGGCAATAATGTAATATGAAGAGCAATAATAATAAAAATAATGTGTTGGTTTAAGAACAGACCAACAGACCCATGGAATCGAGCAGAGAGTTCAGTGACACACACAAACTTACATGTATACATTCATAGAATACACATATAAACACACTCATACACACACATATACACACATACAGAGTGATATAGTGTAAAGGTGGCACCATAATTTAGTGAGAAGAGGATGGATTATTTAGAGAAAACTGGCTCCATGCATAGGCAAAAAATCTGGACTTCTACCAACTGCAAAGAGATCAAAGACCTAAATACAATACATTCAAATGACAAAGTTCACAGAAATAAAACATCAGGCACTTTTATTTCATAAGAACTTTTAAAAAACTTAGAAAGCATAAATTATAAAGAAAAACATTAGTGAATTGATTGTATTAAAATTTACTTATGTTTAATGAAGAATAGCGTGGTCTAAGTTCATAGACCATGGACAGAATGGGAGAAGATGTTTGCAATATTTGCAACTGACATGGGGTTTATATGTGGAATAAAAAGGAATTCCTGTAAGTCAGCCAGAAAAAGATATGAACCCCAAGAAAAAGAATGGTCAAAAGATAAAAACCAGCAACTTATAGAAAAAGAAACCACAAAGACTAATGAACACATGGAGTGCTCAAACTCAAGAGTAAGTAAAGATATAAACATTAAACGGAGATATAATTTTATATATATAGGAAAAAGGGGAAAGCTGAATAATGCAATATGCTGGAGACATGATGGGACCTTTGTGCCTTATTGATAAGAGTGCAGACAGGTGCATCTCTTCTGGAGAGGCCCCTAGCATGCCCAGTCAGCATAAGCAAACACAAACCCAGCCATTTCACTGCTGGATCTTAAAGAAAGTCTCTGAGAGGCCCACAGGGAGAGAAGTGCAATAAAGTGCACTGCAGAATTATTAGTGGTGCCAGTGAGGCAGAGACAAATAACATACAAATGCATACCATGGAGTACTACGCAGTCGTTAACAACAGAGTAAATGCACACCTAGGGATATGGATGGCCACAGTATGCTGATAAATGCAATACTAAAAAACTCCAGAGTAACCTATAGCCTACTGCTTATGCAAATTAAGTATATGCATGTATTCCACGATATGCAAAGAATATGCACACACATATATATATTAAATAAATTATAATATTTGTCTATGGTAAGGGAGAAGAAGAAAATAAGTGGTGATAAAAGGGAATACACAGATAAATAACACAAGAGAGGGTCTTGCATGAACCAGTGATGATAATGACCCTTCCACAAGCCTAAGAATGATCAACTCATACTTTTGTGCCTGCGGTAACGAATAAACAAAATATCTTTTTGCTCTTTACCATCAGCGTGCATTACACCATCCTGATTTTCTTCATTTACAGGGCTTCTGAAAACAAGAAAGAAAAAAGTGAAATTAGAACAAGCAGATTCTCACCTTATAATGAAAGAGAGAAAAAGATTCTTTTTCAATTTTTCTTTTCTCTTTAATATTTGCTTGGACTGAAAACTTCAGATATCACTAGTATAAGCTTATGCCTACGAACTTCAAATATCACTAGTGTAAATTTATGCTGCTGCTGTGGCAAAAAATAGAGACTTGGGAAACTTGAGGACAGCCACGTCCATTCATAGTGGACACATACAATTAACCCTTGGCTAAAAGTAAAGTAATATGTTTTCCACTACATTGGCAGTAAATCAATGCTTCATTCCTTCATTTGATTGGCTCTCTGTTATTTATACCAAAGAGAATTATTTCCAGTCCCTACTCCTTCCTCTTTCCAGACGGTTTCCCCCTGGCTTTACTTTCATCACTTTGTGGCTTGGACTCCGAGGTGCTTCATTCCAACAGCTCTTAACAGAGTAGTCAATACCTGGGCCCCACTAATCCCCAATGATTTACGTACCCATCTGAATTTTCTATTCCCATTCTCAGGCTGATTAGCATAGCTGGAGAAAACTACCAGTTTTACTGACTCTAGACATACAAATAATTGGTATTCAACCTGAACCCCCTTCAATACTATTGTACTACCTTATTACTTTTTTTCTGGTCAGTCTTCTATTGCAGCATCCTTCTTAGTACCTATCAAAATTTTTCATTGCTTTCCTCAAATCTGCTATTTCTTTCCTCTCACCTATAATCAGATGACCTTATTTCTTATTTCACTGATAAAAGAGCAGTGGATGCAAATTCTCTTAAGAAAATCCGTTCCCTTAGCCCATGAACATAGCTGTAATTGCACCTGTCCTTATTTTCTGAAGTTCTTTTTTCCACCTGTGTTCAGGATTTATTCTATCTGAATTCTTGGTAATTTTATTCCATCAATTATCCTCTTTGGTCTACATGTCATCATATTTATATTTCTCTTATTTTTTTCCCTTTCCATCCCTAAATATCTCATTCTTTGACTTCTCCCTCAGTCCAAGTTACTCTCATCTATAAGCAACAAATGCTTCTCTTTACCCCTGGTATCCCCCACGTGACCACCAAATTGTCCTCCTTTATCTGGCCAAGCTAGGAAAAGCTGTCTACACTGACGCTCCTTCCTCTCCTTCCACTCACTTCTTCACCGACTACAATCTTCTATTGCCACTTCTTCACTGAAACTATTTTTAAACATGTTAGCCACCAAATCCACCAGACCCCTCCCAGTCTGCACCTTATTTTGCTGTTTTGTGGCCCTTGACAAAACATCTTCTGGTCTACTTCTTGTCTCTCCGGCTACTATCCCACAATTTCCTTGGTGGGTTTGTTTTCTTTTGACTTCCTCTTTCAATGATGATGTTCCTTTGTGTTCTAGTCCTCACTTTATTCTTTTTTACCATTTCACAGTTGTCCCAAAATGGTTTTATATACCCCTGTAGCTTCACATATTATTTTAAGGTTGGTGACTTCCATGTGGAAATCTCTAGCCCAGGCCACTCTTCTGAATTTCATATATGTGTGTGTGTGTGTGTGTGTGTGTGTGTGTGTGCGTGCGTGCATTCATGTGTGTATCTATATCTATGAGGTTTGACAATGAAGTTTGTGTACTCGTCCTACAAATAGCACTCCATACCTCATTGCTGAATATCACTATGGTTATCTTGCAAGTACTTCCCTTGGGAAACTATGCAGCAATACCTGCACCTGGGTCATCCTTCAAAGCAATTTTGGAATTCTTTCTCTAGAATGACCATCAGAACTGTATTCTGACAATTAAGTTCTTGAACTTGCCACCATGAGCTCACTGTACAAACACCTCAGTAAGGTTTCATAACCTTGGTATATCAGTGTCGCAGCTGTGTTTGTGTGGCATTAATTACTGCTGTTGCATATTTTTTGTGCCCTACAAAGATAGCTATAATAGCCATTTCAGAAAAAGAATTCCAAAATTGCTTTGAAGGGTGGTCTACGCACTGGCATCAGTGCATAGCTTCCCAAGGGGAGTACTTGGGAGGTGACCATAGCGATTCAGCAATGATGCTTGTTGCACTTTTTCTAGAATGAGTTCACAAGCTTCATTGTCTGACCTTGTATATATCTGAAAGTATATATACACTACACACACACACACTCTCTTTCTCTCTCTCTCTATATATATATACACACACACTATATGTATGTATACACAATATACATGCAGAAACACATTTTTACTTGGATGTCCTACAGACAGTTCAGTATCAATTTCTTAGAAACCGAATTTTCCCCTGTCCACCTCAGCCTAAACCTGCGTTCCCTACTAGGTTTCTTATCTTGGTGAACGGTACTACAATTCACATATCCACCCAAACTTCAGATCATCCTTGATTTCTCATTCTTCTTCAGCCCCACATCAAATTAATCAAGTTTTGTCAGCTCTCCATATTTAATGTCTCCTGCAATTCAATTCTCTCTCCCATCTCTCCCCTCTCCCCTGCTGGACAAGAGAGCTCTCTTATCGCTCAAGTAGACTCTGGCTGTAGTCATCTGGCCCATCTTCTAGTAATCAGAATTTCGATTCCTCTTCCCCACCCTGATAACGCCTTCTCAAAATTTGTCAAAAATATAATTATATCACTCTCAGGTGCAATACCTAAACCACTTAAAAAATTAGTGAGTTACTTGAAGCCAAGAGATGCCAGTTGCAAAAGCAACTTCACAAGAAGAATATGTGCTAGAAACATCTCATTACAAAGATGATAAAAAAGGTTCAGTGGATACATTTGTGGCTCAGAAAGAACTGCCATGGACGTATGAGTCTTACTCTCTACCTGAGATAGTAAACATGGTTAGTGAGCAATTATAAATCTAATAAACTCACTTTTCAAAAATATTAAAAATAAAAAATTTAACTTACACATCCTTAGTTTTCTATTTAGGTAACTATAAAAAGCAGTTGATCAACTCATTAAATTGGTCATGACAAGATACTTATTGCCCTTAGTGAGTCTTTTTTGTCCTTGGAATTAAATACAGAACTGATGGAGTAAGTCAAACTCATGGTAAAAAAAACAAAAAACAAAAAACAAAACTTTGTGAAATAAGCTTTATAATAACTGGGACAATATGTGTATGTTTACTATTTTAAGTATGTGTAATATTTAAGAAATCTGTGACATTAGCAAATATTTTGTTCGATTTGTCACATAAATTTAAAATTTGTGGTTTAGACTTTTTAATGTTTAGATAAAAAGTAAGGATCTTGGGTATTGAGATCTTGGGTCAGTGGCTGCTTATATCATAAAAGGAGAGTCAGGAGTACATTCTGAGAATTCTCTGTACTTCTTTCCAAAAAGGCTGTCTTACTTGGCAATACCACCAAGAATGCATCAGTATTCCCCCCTTTCCACACCCACACCAGCTTCTGCAGCTTTGGGATCCTGTGATGTGGGCTATTCTCCCTGGATTAGCTGATATCTCAAGGCTCACATGAGAGAAAAATACAACCAAATTCAAGAGGAAAGGAGAAGGTATGAAGGGATTTTGTAAGTTCCCACCTAATGGGTAAAATGTAGGGGTATATGGCACACCTCCTGGGTGAAGGACTCAACTACAACTCAGATTTTACCTTACAAATGTAAACAATGTAACCTAATCGTATGTACCCTCATGTTAATCAGAAAAAAAAGACTACATTATGGGTTCCTAATAAAAGAATATACCATCGCCTAAAAATGAATCTTACATAATCAAATAACCAAAAAGCTAAATGTTATCCCACCACCTCTGTCACCAACTACTAAGTTACAGAAAATACAGAGGAGAGAAGAACAAATAAGCTATATTACAGACAAGCAATCAGCAAAAGTTCGACTATGGGTAACTATAATATGCACAAACAACTTGACTTCTTTAATATATACATTGGAGAGAATAAATAAGAGATAAGAAGGGTGAACTTATAGTTTAAAAGAGAATGACAAACATATAAGCCAACAAATATGTGTATGCTTTGGATTCTTATTAAAATAAACTTAAGAAAAAAACAAACACACTTTAAGAGACAATTGGAAAATTGAACACCGACTTGATATTTTACATTAAGACAGAGTCTATTTTTTAGGGACAACAATCAAAATACGGTGGGTACCAAAAAATGCATGCATATTTTAGTAAAGGAAAATACTGTATTAAAATTGTAATACTAAAGTCATATTTGATTCCTGGAATTGTAAGAAATATACAAGATAACAAAAGTTATCAGCATATACTGATTATTACAATTTTGATATAGTTTTCTACCTTTCTTAAAATGTGCATACATTTTTTCACACCCTCTGTGTCTATGGACAAAATTATATAATGTTTGTTATTAGTTTCAAAATAATGTAAGAGGGAAATGGTTGAAGGTGAAACAAGATTGGCTTATGTTTATAATTGTTGAATTTGGTGAAAGGATCATGGAGGCTCATAATACTATTGCCTTTGCTTTTTATATGCTTAAATTGTTTTTTAATAATAAATACAGTTTCTTTTTTCTTTTTTTTTTGAGACAGAGTCCCACTAAGTTGCCCTCCATAAAGTGCTACGGTGTCACAGCTCACAGCAACCTCAAAGTCTTGGGCTTAAGTGATTCTCTTACCTCAGCCTCCCAGTATAAATACACTTCTTAAAAAGAATAAGCAAAACACAATTACAAATGCTATTGGGATATTTAAGAGAATTGGATGTGGTTTGATTTAATAGATTTACAAGAGCCATTTAAATTCTTGGAAGGGTCTTGTTTAGTGGGCTCATTAAATTTGTTCAGTCAGGTATTGCTAATGCTTAAAAGTGAAACTCAATATATTAAATTTATACATGTAATGTAAAACATTTGAGCGCATTTAATTGAGTAAATTTGTAAATAGAACTAAATTTATAGAATATAAATTTCATAAATTTGACTTTAAAGAATTTAATCTGAGCCATTTGAGTAC